CAAACTTTGTAGTGTTTCGTTTCGGCCATAGCGTACCTCCGGAAGCTGCTCTATTCAAAAATAATTTTATATTCACTTACTATCTCGGCAAAAACTAGCTGGGACTCTGGCGCCTGTTCTTCCTTACTGCTACTCATATTCGAATTTAAAGAATAAGACAACAAAACATTGCTCTTTGCTCCGCACAAATGTGAGCGACGCGCGTAACGTATGTAACCTCTATCTAACCAATTTTTAAAACTCCTAGCCTGCACTATCACTTGTTCACAACGAGCAAATGCTCGCGAGACATAAGGAAGTTATTCAAGCAGAAACATACGAAGTTTTTTCATACGCGGAGCAGACTCACTTTGCTCCGGAGCAAGTACTCCTGAGCAAGTGCTCATTTTTTATTCACATGACCTGTTGTGGTAATTCACAATTAAGAATCCAGGAGGTACCAACTACAAAGTTCATTTAAAATATATTTAATGTTAAAAATAATTACACATAAACACGTTAATACTATCCCATTTCCTGTGGCACCGCAGGGAAGAAAATTAGCAAACAAATATAATTGCATATGAAATGATATTAACTTAAATAAACAAATAGGAATAGATGTGATACAGAATGATCAATGTAAAGTCTACAAAAATAGGGTACATACTCAAGTAACATGGTTTAATCACATGGGATTTAACTTGGCACCATCTTGTATCTACGCAGCTCTGTGACTGACTGCACAGGGAAGTTGAGGGAGGAATCGGAAAAGTGTAGAAGCTAGTTAGTGAAGAGTTTTGCTTAATTTTTTGGCTGTATTTAACTTGATATTGTTCACCAATTAAATTCGGGTTTTTGAATCATTTTAAAATTTCCAAATATTCATTTTATTACCTTCATTTTCTAATTGGAAATGCTGAAATTGATTTTAGGATCATCAGAGTAATTTTCTTGGATTAAGTGGTTAGCAAAGGTAGAAATGTCTAATTTTTGCTTCCAAGATCTAAGATGTTCATTAACTCTAGAAGAAAATGTTCTATATAGGACACTGCATATGCGGAATAGCAATTGTTACATTTTAATAAATAAATACCATTATTAATCATTAATAATAAATGAAATTTATTGACAGGAAGAAGAGTTTAATAATATCAATATAGCAAATACGTAGTAATTTTAGTAATTGTAAGTTTTAACAATTACATGGAAGTGTTCCCGTTTCGCAATTGTCAACAACCATTACGACCCCATAGTTACTTAGCATGAAGTTATTTTTATTTCTAATAATGTTTTCATAGTTGTAGAGTGAGAGCAGTAAAGTCTTCGAATAGCCAAAACATTCCGGATAACAATGAACTAATGATTTTAAAGTTTATATTAATATTCTGCCATTTCTAAACTCTTTAAAATGTGACGAGCGAATACGTACACATATTAACGCCAGAAATACATGTTATATTTCATTTTTTTGCCAGTGGTAGCTCATGATTTCAAAATATAGTTTTCTGATTCTTATATAGACACTTTCTCGTCAGTGCAGATTATTGCACAGAAAGTGATGGGAAACTTCAAGATAGCAAACTAGAAACACAAGAATACGAAAGTCATTATCACAAGGTCTGTACGTTGTCTCTACGAGTTGCCACATGACGTAAGCAAGGGCACTTTTTTTAAATGTATTTATTTATTGATGTTTTCATAGTTCAGTATTATCAACTTCTTCATATGTGTATTATTGTAGAACCATACTTATTCTAACTTAACATTTAACTGTTCTACGTTCAAATTGATGTTCTAAGTACATTGATGTAGGAGACTCATAGAACATATACCATTTTAGCTATTGAGTGAAAGAAATATTTGGTGTAGAGGGACATAGGCGGTACGTCTAATGCTTTATGGAGTTGTCAGTTTGATAAAAACCAAGGAGCATTTGTTTCTATTTGGAAGAATTTGTTCTGCATCACTTGAATTTTATTTATGTTTGTTTGCGAGGCATTTATCAATATTGGGCACGCTTAGAGCATAAGCGGTCTAATTATTTTTTAACAAAAGACTATTGCATTGTTCAATAAAAGTTTGCCTTTGTTGTTGAGTAAGGGTTTAGTTGGATTAACTTTATTATAGTGAGTTGTAGCTTTTTAGTTTTATGGGATTCCCAATTTACTCTGGTGTCGACAGATAAGATATTTGATAGTTCATTGTCAGTCCAAGATATTTGATAGTTCGGTTTTGTGGGACCCATGAGATTGTGTTATACTTTATTAGCTGAATGTGGTGACGTCAACGCTTTAAACTTTCTTCGGTTGTTTAACTTTTTTCTTTCTTATTCGGTTCAGCGTCCTCTTTATTCATTTTAGATGTTTTGTTAGCATTGCGAACTAACCACCTAAATTTTGCAATTATTTTGTGATATTGAGCACGATTTATACCTTTGGCTTTCCTGAACTTAGGTAATGTATTTAGGAACTTAGGTAATAAAATTGACTTCAGCAAGAGTTATTTCGAAACGTTTTATTTTCAATTTGTCGAAACACATATGTTTAAAATCAATTTGAAAACCCCACGACATTCTCGGCAAACGCATTTATCTGTTGCACCTCCGGGTTACTCGGCTTATCCTGATTTCACACATAAAAATTATCGTCTCCTTGATATTTTAGAGGACATAACGCTGATCCCCGCAGCCCAGACGCAGCGACCGGCTCGATGACAACGCGGTGCTCTTCTCGGAGACGTGCACCCACGACTGTCTGATCCGGGCCACTCAATAGACCTTATTTAGTTCATTTTCTCTTAAAAGGAAATTCTTCTTTTTTGTATTCTGGTATTATTTGCCTTCTAAGTCTTCTTCTGCGTCTGCCTCTACGTCTTCCTCTATGTTCTTTTCTACGTCACGTTCCAAGGCCAAAGTGTTCGTAGCTTTTTAAAAAATTATTTTCTTAAATATGGTTATCTGTCTAGGGATAAAAATTAAAATGATATATGCCGGGCGATTCACTTGTTCAAATTAACTTCACTTGCTCACTTAAAGATGTCAACATCGGTGTTACCAACGCCATGAAGAAAATTATGGCATATTGAACGAATAATGACTTAAAGTCAAATGAAACTAAAAATGAGTTTAATCATCGCTACCTACATAGACCTATTTAAGTAGAGTTTGTTTAACTCCCGGTTTACTCACCAAGATCGAAATTCCAAAACACGAAAAACCTGTTTTTGGAAATTTCTTAGAATCGGGAACCGGTGACGCATTGACACCTCATATCTCGATTGGTGCAGGGAAACTGGTTTAACCGTGAGTGACTGAATCGCACATCCGCACACTCGAGGAGTTACTCAAATACTGTATAGGGATATGAAGTGGGCGGGGGTGATAAAGGGCCTAAGTGAAAAGATTTTTGTTGCTGATTTGGTCGAGTTAAGTGTTTTTTCCATTTAATGGCCCAGTCTTCTGCCAAGGGGTCTACCGACACACAAATGAATTGCAACATCCAAGTCCATTCATTGGCGCTACTGCGCTCTTGTGGTTTTTTGGCGAACATGAGAAAGCATGGAAAGACCGCCATCGTCATCGCGTAGGCATAGTTGTAGCTGCAAGTGCTTCAGTGGTGCGCAGAAACATCTGGCCATCAGAATCCCCAAGAACTCGATTGCTCCGCGCCAATACACAATATATGATGGATCGCACCTAATGGGCCATCCATAACTTACATAACGCAAATTTGGAGTGTTTTAAAACCCCCTCCCCCCCTGTAACGCACAAGCAACGAGCACTTAACCCCCTACATAATAACGTAACGCCTGCGACAACACCCCCCTTTTAAAAGCAAGAAGTGAAAATAAATTATAGCACAATTGAGGGCAAGTTTTGAGTGAAGGTAGGGCGCACAGCGCGAGCAAATTTCTGATCAGAAGCCGAGCATACACCGCCGTTGTGCATGGCGCGTGGGTGAGAGTTTCTGAGCCAATTTACATACATACATTTATTTGAACTGCAATTGGTGGCAGTTAATTAACAATAATTACAATTGTACAACTAGAATACAAATGAATTGTATTGTAGAAAATACTACAGAGTAGTTTGAATATTTTCTTCGTAATCTTACAGATTCAGTAAAAATTTGATGAAAAGAATTTCCATTTATTGTAACAGCTTCCAATAACTAAATTATTTATATTTTAAAAGGACGTTTTTAAGGTTAGGTGAGCTGTTATGAGCTCAAAAAACGAAGTATGTCAACAAATGTTTAACAATGTAAAAAAATATCACTGTTACGTAGCACCAATCGAATACTCCCCTGCCCGTACGTAACGCAGCCTAACGTTGCCTCAAACCCCTCCCCCTTCTTTAGCGTTACGGAATTTACGGAGGATCCCTAACCTCAGTGCAAAATTGAATTTCCGCCCTAAACAAATCCGTTAGTGAACGATGCCTCCGCCAGAAGCGCTTGTGTCACATAGTACGCTGTAAGAAATAAATTCACCGAAATACGCCGAAAAATGTTCATGTAAAAATCGTGCAGTCTGATCTACGCTTTTTGTTAATCCGGTCTGTTCGAAAGGTTTTGCGCCTCGTAGAAAAGGCATCACAGAGCGTTCGATCGATGTGGTGAGTTGCGGCGCGAGGGACCCGGCAGCCCTGACGCAAACAACTGCGTGCGGGGGTGAGGCCGACATGCGCAGAAGCGCGCGCCGCCCGCCCATCTCTCACACAGGCAGTCGCGCGTGCGTGATGAGCGAGTGCGGTGCCGACGGCGGTGTCCGACCGCCTGCGCAGCGGTGAGTTGTGCGTGATACGCTAGAATAGCGGGAGGGACTGCGCGGTGCGGCAGCTTTGCTCGCGTGCGTTGCTGTGAAACGGCGAAGTCGCCGGCGGGAGTGCGTTATCGGACGGGCTGAAGCGGTTTGTCCGCGTGGGCTGACCCGAGCCGCCTGCCCAAGTAGCGTCGCGCGGGCGGCCCGCCGCCGGATGGAAGGTCGGCGGCTGCCGGCGGCAGCGGCGCGAGCGCGCCATGGCCGACTGCGGTGACGGCTGTGGCTGTGACTGCGGCGAGTGTGCGGCGGCGTGCGAGCCGGGCTGCGAGTGCTGCGGGGCGTGCTGCGACTGCCAGGGCTGCTGCGTGTGCGTGTGGCCGGGGGCGGGCGCGGGCGCGGGCGCGGGCCGAGCACGCCCGGGGGGCGGAGGGGGCGACGAGGGCGCGGACGCGCAGCGGCAGCGCCACGTCGTCGGCGCCTTCTGTTTGGTGACGGTGCTATTCCTCTCGCTGGTTACCGTCGTCTTCGTGGTGGTGCAACTGTGGCGGTCCACCCACCCTGGGTTGGTTCTCAGCAAATACTTTCTTTTGCCATTCAATGACAGCGATTTATACATCAAAGCAAACATTCCTTTTCGGTCGAGGTGTACACAACTATTTTCTGTGTGCACATCCTTCATTTTTTAGAGTAGTAATGAAAAGGTTCACATTACAAGTTTTAACAACAAGTAAATTTTCGTAATTGGTGTTAGTGTCATTGATGGTAACTCGAGGCAACAGAGTAACACTTCCTTCCTAACAGCTGTTTAGAGATGAAAAATCAAACGTTTGTGATGTAACGGAAATTTTATCTCATTACTAGCATAAGCACGTGCACTTTAACCTTGAATGTTTCAAAACAATTTTTTTTATGAAATAAAGTAACTTTCGGCACAAATTAAAAAATAAATCGAAAAACAAATATTATATTTTTGCTCTTCATATTGCTACATTTCAAGTGCTACAACACTTGCAATAATTTTCTGAAACGTAGATGATATGGATGACAACTAATGTTTACTGTGCGGATGTCATTCAGTTGTTGCTGTGCGTCGTGATGTCATTTAAAATAAAGTACAATTCTAATTAGAAGTAAATTGCTGTATTAAGAATACGTTATGTTTGAACAGTATTTACTTCCTGTCATACGTAGTACAAAGTTAATTAATACTGCAAAACAATATATGTCGAGATTTTGAGGTTAATACATGATTTCGGGGTCACTGATACCGAAAAACATTAGGTTTTTGTTTTGTTTATTCTTCAATATGTCTTCATTCTCCCTATCTGATCTCCATTTGTAAACAACGTTAGCGCTCAACTCTTCCCAGGATTTTTCTCAAAATGAATATTTCCCGATCGATCTACAAGGGCGACTATAAACACTGTGAATTTGAAACGAATATATCAATTTCCTAGGATAATACTTAACATAAAGCCCCAAAGACGGTTTCGAAATTTCCTCAAAAATCACCTTAAATTAGTTTTAAAAAATATTTTTTGGTAGAATAGAACACAGTACGCTTATAAATAGATATCGATTCTTCAGAGTTAAATCTTCGGTTCTTCAGAATTAAATCAAGAATTTTTTTAAAAAGGTAATTAAAATAACTTGAAAACGGCTTTATTTTTTAAAAAATAGAGTAAAGTTTGCTCAATAAAATGACATGAGTCGTATTTTTTAAACATCCGGAATTTTGAAAACTGAAACGGCTTAAATTTGTGTGAAGTGAGCAATGAAAATAGACATTAGAAGGGAACACAATGCGGTTAGATATTTCTTATAAAATGCAATGTGTTCCTGAATGGAAGATCTTTAAATCATTTTATGAAGATGTTTTCGAAAAATACGCTGCAGCGTCTGTGACCGGGAGGCCCTAAGATTCGAGCTCCGAAGCTGACTGATTTTCGACACCCGCTAGTTTCAGTTCGGCATTCGTCTGGAGGAGAATTCAAGCAGCGGGCCGCTCTGATCGATAGTTTCGCATTGGTTTCTTCGATCAACACTAGTGAGCGCCGGGGCAGTCACGGACCACGCGCAACCCTTCTTCCACATCCTTGCTCCCCCTCTCCCCTCAAACTCACACACCCACACATGCCGGGCGGCCAGTGGGGGGCTCCGAGATTGTCCCGGCAGGGGCGGTGCCCCTCTGGCGGGGTTCCGAGGGGGGGAAACCCCCTCAATGCATTCTTGGCTACCCGGGATGAGCCGCGTCTCGGTCAATTGTACTGACGTTTCAGCCATCTTGCTGTGGCCTCCTTCAGAGCTATACGGAAACCCCCTCAAGCCCACGTGTGGCTTGGCGCCGCCCTCCCTTCCACCGCCACCTCCAGAGACATAACATACACGATACTTACGGGATGAATGACCATAGCTCTTGTCGCAACCGGCAAACACAAAATAAACAATCAATTTTTTGATTGAAGCTTTTGAAGCCATTCTTATCTTGTTAAATCATACACTGTTCTTTTGCAAGAAATAATAGGCAATGCTAGTTATTCGTGTGATTCCAGCGTATTACAGACTATAGCATAGCGACTACAGCTTCAGCCTGCTAGCTTGAACTTGACTCCCACCAAGCCCTTGTGTCTTTTTTTCTTTAATGTGTTCCTCATTTAGAGCCTAGAGCCCTTGTAAATTAGGCGAAAGTTCTATTTTATTTAATTCATGGGAACATTTGAAAATACCAAGTGCAAGAAAATAGAAAATTAAAATCTTAGGCGCTCCCTTTGCTGAAGAGTGTTCACGAGATGGGTGAAGAATTAGTAAGATACAATTTGCTGTATTATAATATTAAGAATCCGTTACAAATAAAACGAGAAAGTATTATTGTAGCATGTCTAGTTTTCAGAAATATCTGACTGTCCGGCTATGGAAAACACTGAGGACAAAATCGTTCAGAGGATATTCTGCAAATTGGTATTTCCCTGTCGATCTGACCGTACTGAAGGCACTGGGAATTTCAAATGGGTTTTGATTTCCGGGGAGGGTGGGAGATGCTTGAGCGGTTGGACGCGTCTCGGCAAAAACTTCTCAATGTGCTACCACACGATATTTCTAGAGACCGGAAGTGGATGTCATATGAAAACTCCAAATATGTACACAAATGTGCGTTGAAACAGTAAGAATAGGTAATAAATACGTAAAATCGAAGATATGTAAAACAAATTAAAATGAATAAACAAATTCACTAATTATAAAAGGCATTTACGTAATACAAAATTACATTATAAAAAATTCTTAACAAATTTTAAAAATAATGTCACACTTCCCATATCCCACTTCCCTCTTCCACCCACACAACTTTTCCGTCAGTAGTGGATGCTTCATCTATTGCTACCCAGGTCCATAGTTTTGTGGCGTGACTAGACGCAATAAATATATCAACATTATTCCTCGTCCAAACTGGTGATATCTACGACCAGCGAATCACTGCAGCGGGAAGAACTCGCACTGAATGTTCAACGCCCGCGATCGCCAATGTTCTTCGAAAATTAAGGTTGAAGGTTTGAATCCACGGCGACTGAGGAACTTTTCGCTCCAAGAGAAGACAACGATCTTCGTCGCTGCGTATGCTACCTGTATCTGGGCGCCGGCGTCGAGACATCAACAGGGGTGGGCGCCCTGGGTCGGAGGTTGCATAACTAACTAATTATTAAAAATACACATTTTCTAGTAAAATCACCCGACCAAAAACGACGGGGACACGTTTATTGTTCGTGATGATCATCTACATTCGACGGTTAATTGAATACATGGACTTACAGTGATGTGATGGCTTGAATTTAGATACTTCACTTCAAAGGATTATACACTCACGGTGGCAACAGATGGCCCGCCGAATAGCGCGTGGACTTCTCCGGAAGCCGGCAGGAATCTGCGCCTGGTTGAGTCGGAGACGCGCCCGAGTCCAGTGAGTTGAGGCCGCAACGTCTGATGCGCTGGTCCTAGGCCGTCAAACATCGTCTGGACCGCGTAGTGTTTAGCAGCCGAGAAACAATGCTGCACACTCCCTCGTATACGTGAAGGGTGTTATTTAAATAGTTCTAGTCCTCCATTCAGAATAAATTCCGATGCTGGAGTTATCGAAATTATTGCTCGAGATTATTACGTTTCTCGTGCGCGGTAGTCGCCGTTAAAATTTCAAACAAATCTCCGAGCCGACCGCTCACTTAGTCTATTTCTATCTCTCCAAACCTTCAGCGCCCGTTTGCTCTGCGATTTCCACTCCCACCCCTCTCGCAAGATGCCCGACCTATCCCGTCGCAAAACTTAACGGAAAGTTACACGCGAAGGTTTTTATAGCCGGTCTTGATTTACAGTGGGTGCTGTCGCCTCTTATGCAACAGTTCTGCCCGTCCATCACCCACTGTTGCACATAGCAGTGGAAGGGTGCCATTCGGGGGGGGGGGGGGTTACGAGCAGGGATACCGGCACGCGTGCAGCTGTGTGTGTCTAATGCGCGAAAGAGGCACTCTTTGCCTCGAAGTTATTTTTAACTCAGCGTGACTCGAGGGTCGCGCTTGTGCGATGAGCCTTGCTCATTGCAATAATTATTAATATTGATGAGAAATAATTAAAGAACAGATACTACATATGTACACGAAGCATTATCAAAACAGATAAATAAAATTAAAGTGTGTGATTTTTGAGTGTTCGCCTTTTAAATACATGTTCAACTTGCTTATTCGATTACTAAAACGAATTACTTGCCAAATCAATCAAGTAAAGAACTACTGAATGAATCAACAAAAAAATTAAATGTAATGTAGATACTACTCTTGAGATCAACATAGTTTTTATTTGACTTGATATCCCAAACGGTTGCGAAGATATAACTTGTTAAGTTGAAATCCTCACTGTTTCTCTCTGCCTAGAGCGCTGGGCACTTGGTGCGAAACGTGCCGAGGCTGGGAGGTTTTCGACGAACCTATGTCATTTCACAATTGGGTGGCGTGGCGTGGCGTGGCCAGGCCCGGCTCACCTGACTGGGGCCACAGAACACACTCAACATACCTGCGCTGCTAATATCAGTGCCCACTGCATTGCAATGGCCCTAAGCCAGCTATCCCTATGCGTTGACAATGGTACACTTCCCCTTCTACGCTTACCTTGGCCTAAAACCGTATGCGCACATAAGAACATGCCACCCAACACTTTTCCTCCTAAAATAGCAACGGCATTCTCATCATCTCTATAGATATAGAGACTCTACCGCTGACGTGTTACTGCTCGATGATCTATGTGTCGACAATGATTTTTTCATTCATTATTTCTTGTTTCCGAGCGCATCAACTACTATGGTCATTAACCCCGTAAGTATAGTGCACTTTTATCACGCTTGTGGAGTTTTCCCAGCGCGGTGGACGCGTGTGATACCGCGTCGACCTTCACGTCTTGGCGGAGGTTTCCCCCCCCCCCCCCAGGTTTCTCCCTCCCCAGCAGGGCATCGCCTCAGCTGCGACAAGCTCCCACCGCCTGGCAGGTCTCCCGACATGTGTGGTAGGGTAGTGCATATGGATGTGTGTGTGTGTGTATAGCACTATCCGATAAAAAAAAGTTTTAAAAAATTAAAACATTTTTTAGAAGATTATTGTTTTTAATTATTAATAATTATTGCTCATATAGGCAGAAATTACTAACATTTGCAAAAAACCTGGCTTAAATGAAATAACTAATTTTGAAGAACATATTGTGATTGAAGAAAAAATCTCTCTTCAATAGTGTAATTCTACCAAGGATCCAAAAATGTTCAAACCTTTGCAATTTTCGAATTTTCAGAATTAACAGCGGCAATCGGAGCTATGCCATCTGTAGGGAGTTTTCTCGCTGTTTAACGAACAAGAATCGACTGAAAAATCGATGTTCTGCGCACGCGCAGATGCTCAAGAGGGAAGCTAAACTCGAACTGCGCATGCGCATAAGATCGATAGAACTGTCGATTGCTGTAACACTTCGCTGTGAAAAATCTCCCTAAAATAAGTGTGTTTCAATCTATTCAGAGAAGTAATTGTAAAAATTGATCCACTTTTGCAAAAATTTTGAAAATATCCCAGGGGCTTCATGTAAAATACTCATAAAATTTAAAGATTATTTTCGAAATCGTAGAGCTTGGAGTTAAAATTTTGACAGTTCCCACAAATTATAAAGATGTTGTTCATACATAACAGACTCATAGATGCAGAGGCAGGTACTACAGAATGACACCGACTTTCCGTATTAGATTTTTATATCCTTTGGTCTTGGCTAGCTATTCGGACTTATCATGCTAGTGGCTATCTATCGCCTCGCAAAGTACTTGTTTTTGAAATTTTCTTAATTTTTCGGTTTCGATAGTAGGTAATTCGGTAATGATAGTAGAATGGAAATATTGTTTTAGGATATTAAAAAACAGTAAAACTTCGCCATAAATGGCAACTTTTTTTGAGAAATTTGGAGCCGTTTTTAAGAAAATGGCCTTTAAGTGCTACTGTACATGTGAAATTTGAACCTCTTTTCTCTGAAAACTATTGAGTTTCCAAAAACCATTAAATGAAGTGTTTCACGAACTTTCAGTCACAAATGCAATAGTTTTTCCAAATAGTTGGAAATGTCCACATTAAAGCTGTAAATCTAAAAAAACTTACATTTGCGTAAATTTTAAAAACAAAAACAAAAGAATACATCGAAATTAATTCTATGCCATCGTAAACAGCGCAATTAGCACTACATGTTTGAAAATTTTGAAGAAAAATTTGGAGCGGTTTCTGAGAAAATAAAGTTTGAGTTTTTCTAAAAATGCAGAATTTTGGACTAATTTTCACAGAAGACAGTTGAGTTTTTGAAAAAAATTGGTAATGTTAAGGCAGCATGGAAAGTACTCCCCCCATATAAAATACATGTTATAGATTCATAGAGTCGCGACACGAGCGAGAAGGATCAAGGAATATTTTCTTGATGAAAATGCTCTATACGGTTTAGCCGCTATTGCTCACAGACAGAAACGCGGACGGACGCACGTTTTGGCGTAAACCTAATTTTCAATATCAAGAAACCATAAAACCTTGATTCTGAGTACAGAATGTGTTAGAAATAATTTACTACATATGCGAACGAGAATTATCCACTTTTTCGGTAACAGGGACCTACAATACTATTTTTTTGTGCCAAAATATTTCAATTTTTGCTGCAGCATTACAAAACGTTTTCTATATAACTTATGTATTATCCGAGAACGTAAAACACGTAATGATTTTCTCAAAAAGTAGTTCCAAATTTATTCTTGAAATGAATCTCAAATAGAGTTCAGTTTTCTTGATAATATGACAAAGAGCCTATTATCAATAAAACATTTTTAATTTTAAAAATTGCAAAACTTTTTGGAATTCCATTTATTTGCTCGTACAGTTATTTAACGTACGAAGGTCAGCCAAAAAGTATACATTCTATTTTTTCTACTTAATTAAAATGAGTTAAATGAAAATTTTAAATTTGGCACTATTACTTAAACATTCTTATATTATCCACCACATCTTTATACGTCAACATGTGGTAGCACAGCAGTCGTTCCAAAATTGCTGACAACGATGTTCAAAAGGTACAGAGTTGTGTGATTAAATTGTTTAATTTGTCCCTATTTCCCCTTGTCTCATTTGTTCCTTTGTCCCCTCCTTTGTTTGTCCCATTTCACCCCTTTGTCCATATTTTTCTCCTTGTTCCATTTAGTATCTTTGTCCCTTTTGCCCTCATTGTCGTTTGACCCTTTCATCCACCCCCTTTCCCACTGTGTCCCTTTCTTCCCATGGTCCCATTTTCTCCCCAGGTCCCACTTATCCCATATTGTCCCCCTTTCCCCACTTTTGTCCCACTTGTCTCAATTTTGTCCTTTTTCTTCCTTTCAAGCACTGCAATTGTTATTTTAAAATGTTATCAAGATCCTGTACCAACAAACCTTGAGCATCGAGAGTAATGAAAAATCTTAACTCATGAAAGTGTTAAATGTTTTTTGAATAAGTGAAAAACTATAAATAACAAACATCATTATTTGTAGTTCATCCTCTATTAATATTTAAGACCTTGTGACAAATAACTATTATATTTCAATTTAAATAAATTGACTTCTGACTTTTGATAATTTGGATGCAGTTATTCCTTTGGGAGCTTCATTTATGATAGTTTTGATATTGAAATTCCCAATTGAATAACTGGTCCCAGATTATTGAACCTCAGAAGTCACTCTATTTAAATCAGAGAATAGGTACCAATAGCTAGCAGCTGATGGGACTAAATTGAAAAGCAAGGTTGGACTAAAGAGATGACAAAACTAATCAGCACTAGTAAGTCTGTACTATTCTATGGCACTACTAATTTCTTTAAAGTTTTCATTTCAAGAATGCAAAGTTCACTTATAAATATTCGGACAGGTCTCAATGTCCCTGAAACCTCTGAAATGTTAAATATTGCAGAAATTAAAATTGTTCACCCCCTTCTCTTTTACTTCAAATTAAGACTCTAAAGAATGTCATCTAGTTTTTCAAAGTATAAATAGTTGTCATGTAATCTTGAGTAAAATAAAGGCAGTATTTGAAATATGTTAAATAGAATTTTTTCGAAAATTTTCCAGTTTTCTTTTTTTTTTCTTCGATTTTTGGCTTAATTTGAGTAAAGTGTGCTTAATAACATGGCATAGGATCTATTTTTCTTAAAACCAGGAATTTTTAAAATTGCAAAGGTTCAATTTTTTTAAACTCCTTTTACACATATAATAGCATAGCAACAGATTTCTTATGTAACACAATCTATTCCGAATATTAAATCTTTAAATCATTTTTATAAACACTATTTTCAAAATATTAGTAGTTTTAAAACTCAAAACTTTTTTCAAATTTGTGTTTCATTTTAAACTTAATGCTAAAAGTTTCTTTCACAGTGTAATCTATTCTCAATATTGTACAGTTTTTTCAAAACAGAAGTTTTTGCAATTTATAGAAAATTTTCCTCAATGACAAAGGGAATTTTGAATATCTAGTATTGTTTTTGACTTCCATTCCTGGCAATACACAAGATTTTTATTCCTTAAAATTCTTTCCTAGGGAAGAGCATTGTATGCTTATAACTGTCGTATATATCCAATTATCATTAAAATTTCTACGAGTTTTTGAAAATTGCATTTCTCAGAAGAGAAAGAATTAGTCAGATACAATTTGCAGTTAATCGAATATGGGTTATCCGTTACAAATAATACAAGACAGTATGTGATTTTGTAGCATCAATACTTTTTCTTGAGTTTTCAATAGAGGAATTTTACTATTGCTTATGTGTACATTACTCGTTCTATATGCAAACATTAATAGTCACCATTCCTTTATAGGGTGCAATAACAGGAGGGATAACAAGTCTTCTCCTTGTTGGCACATTAATAGTGGGCTCACAAACAGCAGTTGCATCAAAACAAATTGTCTATCCCACAAAACCTACATCAACCATTGGCTGCAGTCATCTCTTTGACACATCAACTGAAAATGTAAATCATACAATTTTCCAACAGTAAGTTGAACACTAAAATTCTATGGAATACTGTAAACTATTTAAACCCTGAATTTTACTGACAATACATTTTCTCCATTATAGAGAAACAGTTCCTGAACCACCATTTATTTTATTTAGAATATCTTTCATGTACTTCACCCCTATTGGATGTTTAACTGTGTTAATAGTTGGTTCAATTGTAAGCTGGTTTACTTGTTCCAATACATCCAACACTGAAAATGTGAACAGAGATCTACTGAGCCCAGTAATCTATAGGTGGCTCTCAAATGACATTAGTAATAAAGAAACGATAGTTGCAGAACCTCTATTGATACTTAAATAAAGCAGTGTTACTGTTTATTAAATTAAAATACTTTTTATTTATGAGACAATACGTATCATCAACCAATGTTACAAGAAGAACTAAAATCCACAAGTTCCATTGACTCAGCATTTTTTAAATTAAATTTAATTAAGGTCAAATACTTCATTTTCACATCCAATTTAGTAGTTGTTTTTTGCCTGCAAATGATTTTAAAAGAAATTTATGAGAAGAAAAACAGTAATTCTCAATAAAGTTTATTATCATAATCACATAACTTTATACACAATTTAGCAAGAAATAGCATGAGGCTGAAATAGTAATGTCTAAAGAACAAACAAAGAAATAAAGAGTTACACATGACACTTCACTTGCCTGTGATACTACCTGTTTATTCATCAAAAACAGGTAATTAAATTGTTGATTTATTGAGTTTTTTTGTGTTTTTTCACTGATTACATATTTCTCAAGCATATCAAAGTTTAATTTACAGTTCGCAAGTTTCTCTAATCCAGCCTTTTCTATCAAAATCTTGAACTACTTCAATTATCTTCCTCTGACACATTTTTGAACGGCCCACTTCAATCAGATGATCTTTAGAAGTCAGTTCATGGAGATCCTCAGTTTCATCATTTTGAGCATAAATCACACCCAACATGAAAAGAATATGGTAAAATTGCGTTGGTGCAAAAGTATTGATTTCTTCTAAAAATGCTGTTTTTGAGAAACTTTCAATATCACATTTCAATTTTTTTAATAAGTTAACAAAAGATTCATAATAGATATTAATTAAATGATCATAGTGATTTTCTACCACCTTCCTCTGTGCACTACTATACAAAAAGAAAATTAGATCTCGAACAGGAGAACAAAATAGAGTAAGTTGAAAATCTAATAATTTCATGTCCAGTAGCGATCTATTTTGAGAACCTTCTTCATATTTAAACAATATATTATTTGTCCATAGATCATTATGCACTAACGTTGCAAATGGTTCCTTTGCTAAGGATTTATTTTCAACTTTTATACGAGATACAATATGATTAACCATTTTCTCAAAATAACAACGGCACTCTGGCACATTTTTAACTAATGTTTCCACAAAAGTCTTTCTTTCCTGCACCTCATCTTCTCCTTTAACCCCAATATGAAAATGTGTAGTGGTTTTTAATACAGTTTCCTTAAATATAACTGGTTTCTTTTCTCTGAGAGCAACACCAAGTGCATGAAATGAAGCAAGACTCTGCATTATGAGTTCACAATGTTTCAAATCTAACCCACCCAATCTATCTGCCATCTGATAATTCTGTACTTTTAAGTTTCCCATCAAAAGTACAGCATCAAAATCTGTGATACTACTTCTCATTGGTGAAATACGAGCACCATAGAAAGGTGGAACTAAATTTACAATCTCATGCTTTTCTAATCCACATTCTTGCTGCATTTCAAGATACGCAGGATACACCAATTTATACAAATTTATTTCCTTTTCAAAAGTAACATCTACATTGAAAACTTCACGTAAAAATTGTGTTGGAGGTAACAATTTTGCTATAATATGGTGAATTTGATGTACATTATTATTCAAAATATTAACAGTAAGCAAAAACAAGCTACTTCCATAATTTTCACCAGCTGCTGTAGCATTTCTTGAGGTACAATCTGTGACATTAACTCCTGGTCCAAATTTCCCTTTCAATAGATCTTGTAGATCATCGTTAGTTAAACCTTTTAATCCATGAGTTTCTGACATTATAAACCTGATGGAAGAAGTATATATTTTTAAATTATGGTGGCTCACAGACTCACTTGATGAACAATGATTTAATATTAATTGCAAAAATATTACTCAATACTTACAGTACTAAATAAATCTTAATTAGGTCAATAAAAGAAATACAATTTAAAATCACTTCCCTGATCACAACAGTGTGATATGCTAGTTCCAACTGAGTCAGTTTTACACTATCCTGTGGGTTTCTCACACAAGGTCATATACATTATAGCCCTCTTCATTGCTCATGACAACACTTTTTGGACTTCCTTTTTCACATCACTGATAGAGAGACATGTTGTAAACAGAAAATGTTTGTCATGGTGTGATAAGAACACTGCAATTGTGATTATCAAGGGAAAGATGATAGCAGAGAGCAGAAGTCTTGATTTTTTGTCATAAAGGAAAGTATAAAAATAAACTTTTTAACTCTTAGAGTGTAAGTGGTAAGAACTAAATAATACTGATGCAAAGATTAAACTACTCCATCTTGTAAACTCTCCCCAAAAAATAATTACAAAATACCACATCCAAAATTTGTCTAGAAATTGACAGAAAAATTGTTTGTTAATTATTATAAAAGCAATCTTTAACACATAAGAATTATTCATTTTATCACATACTTCATCAGAACTAAGCTACCACTTGGTAATGAAATTAATGTTTTTGAATTTAACATGATAATACAATACTTTATTAAAGAAAATTTGTTTTACTTTAACACTGACTTCATATAGCGTCAAGATTTAATCTGCACTTTCTTATGCTAGTTGAGTGCTTTACAAAAATAACTTCAATGCTTACTCACATAAAGATATTTCACCAATACTCACACTTTTAAGCTAAATACTTATGTGATTGTCACAATTTTTTTTTATCAAGATGAGTAAGCTTTTATTGTAGGAAAATGAAATATAAAATTATTGAAAGTATCGAAGATAATTATTAGAAAGAAGAGTATTTATGAAAATTTCTAGATGAAATATAGTTGTGGAATCCATGACTTTAGTTTATTTTTTCATGATCATGGTAATTGGAACTAGAATGTTCTCATCTCCAAGCTACACTGTTTGCCAGCCAAAGCGGGTATTCTACTCATAGGGTCAGACACCAGCACTAGAGCAATTGCCCCAGCGATGCTAAGAGAAAAGCTAACCCCTCCAAAGAGGTCGCTGGGGTGTCGTCCTAACAAAGCAACTGGGAAGGCGGAACTGTTATTGGCTGGGAATGCACCGCGCCAATGAGAGAAGGCTCAAGATGTGGGAGACTTGTCTCTGGGTTTCAGAAGACGTGAGCAGCGTGCGACGTGACCAGAATCCGAAGGCCCAATACGAAAGGTTTCACATGGACTTTGCCGGCTCGTTTTTAGGGAGCAATGCGGTTGATGGTACCCGAAGCGCAGTGTAACTTTCCGCATGTAGTGGAAATGTAGATCTGAACGACGAAACCCTCTTCTACCAATAATAATAAACGATAAGAACATTACAAAGCATATTTAGGATAGCCCCGGGGCCATTAACTCTCATTACGGCCCGCATTTCATCTTGAAGACATTCGGAAAGTTTTGCCAAGTAATAAACGCACTCATTTCATAAATTCAATTATGAATACAATCAGCCCTCAATAATGGGCGAAAATAAAAATATAGTAACAAACATTCTCAATTGGAACGTGAATGGAATAAAATGGCAAGAAAATCAATTGCGATACTTTATAACGAGACACAACATAAAAATAGCTTGTATTTCAGAAACTCACGTGTTACCACAAATCAAGTTTTCAATACCACACTTTAATATCTATCGCAACGACCTCTCTCTGTAGGAGGAGTTGCCATACTAATGCACAAATACATAAAACACGTTCATTAACAGTCCTAAGATCAACAACCTAGAAACTACAGCAATAAGTACCTAAATAAATAACAAAAACACAACTATAAAAGCGGCATATAAACTTCCTAATAACTTATTTCCTAACAAAATATATACAGAAATATTTGGAAACAACAATAATAGCATGTTATTATGCGACCTTAATAGCAAACACAGCGCTTGGGAATGCAACACAACCCAAGGGGAAAATTTAGCTACCACCCTTAATTTAAATATTCTGGACCTAATAGAACCCACTCATTACCTTTACAACAATAATATAATTCCGGACGTATTGGATATGCTTATCACAAAAAATATTGATTTTCCGATATATCAAAAAGTGTTTCCTGATTTCTATTCGGATCACAACCAAATAATCATATCACTTCATCCTATCTATCTTCTTTTTATAAGCAGCAAAAAGGTAGCATTAACTGGTTTAAATTCAGAGAATTTTTTAAAATTAACTACAAACATGGGCACAACATTCAATCTGCAAATGACTTAGATAATGAAGTAAAACGATTAGTCAGCAACATACAAGGATCCCTCACAAATTCTACCACATATCTCAAAAGAACAAACCCAATAAACAAGACACTAATTCCAATAAAATCATAAGCCTAATTAATTGGAACTGTATATAGTGGTTTCTGATTAAATTCATCAACTTGTTTATTGAAATGGTAAACACAATTTAAGACGCCATTGGCAAATGACACGGCGACCAGACTTAAAAAGAAAATTAAACAAACTGACGGGACTAGTTGAAACAAAACTAAACCAATATAGACATGCAAGCTTACAGACTTTTCTAAAAGAAATTCACCCATCATCTAAAAATATGTGGTCCACAATACAGAGAATAAAAAGACAAAAACAAGAATTTCCACACAATGAACTAGGAACAGAAATGGCAAATTCCGACTTGGAACAAACATCTCTTATAGCTGACTAACTTGAAAAGTCATTCAATCCAAAACCAGTCGAGAGCGATCATTTTAATAAACAAGTTGATGAATTTAATCAGAAACCACTATATACAGCTCCAGTTAATGTATATTCCCATCAAAAGTTACACTAGATATCAAAAAAACAATAACTAAAAAATCGGCAGGATACTATTCTATTTCGAATAAAGTTCTAAAAGAACTAAATAACAACCTGATAGCAGGCATTACAGCAATATTTAACGCAGCACTCAGAATATGTTACTTTCCCAACGATTGGAAAATTGCAACAGTGCTATTCTTCCGCAAACCAGGAAATAATTCAAGAGATCCAGCAAACTATAGACCAAAAAGCCTGCTCTCCTCATTGTCGAAACTATTAGAGAAACTGATATTGAAACTAAAAATAAAATTTCTGACAAACACACACGTAATCTCAGACACACAAACCACTCCATAACATATCAAATATTACGGTTAACCGACTATATTGCGCAAAGATTCCATACTAAACAACATACTATCGCAATATTTCTGTATATAACCAATGCCTTTGACAAAATATAGCATCAAGGCCTTCTCTACAAATTAAAACAAATAGCCACTCCAGACTACTTACACCAAATTCTTAAATCAAAGTCCCAAGTCAAAATTAACGTTGCCTTATCACCCTTACGCCAGAATTCAGCAGGACCGCCTCAAGGGGCCCCGGTATCTCCAGTATTATTCAATATATATATAACCACATCTAATAGATTCGCAAATAGGGCTTTTCGCTGAGGATACTGCCCTTTTTTCAATGCATGGGGAGAGGATAACAACTAGGAACTACCTACAAGACGGCCTTGACGCATTCAATTAATTGTACACAATAAAAACATTCTCTAAGGACCAAGCGATACAGCAGCTAAGTAAAAAGGAATGCACCTTGATACAAAAGTAAACTGGAAAACACACATCCATACAATAGGAACCAAAACATAAGCAAAAATTTCTAAACTTTACGCACTAAACAAAAAATTCTCCTTTAAAATAGAGACAAGAATGATAATAGCGACTATGACTTACGCATGTTTAATATGGGGAAATGCAGACAAATCTAATATAAACGTTTTACAAACTATGGAAATAAAGCACTAAGAATTATAATTAAAGCCCCATGGTTCATTTCGGACAATGATATCCACAACGAACTACATTTTGCGAAAATAAAAGAACACATCACTAAACTGTCCGAAGACCTTTTCATCACCCTCCACATCTCCAACATCATATTCAACTTTAAACGCACAGCAGAACCGAACCTACGCATCGATTTTCGCTTCCCCAAACACAGAGTGAGACCACCATAAAATGGCAGAAAATCGACCTCAAATGATATGACCTTCATTGACTAATCATACCAACGATCATTCTCTGTATTTCCAATTTACTTCCAAATTAATTTAAATTATTGAAATAAACCAAAAACTTTTAAAGCACCCATCCAGGACTCCCACAGTTAGGAAATAAACCAAAAGTTATGTATGTTTCTTTTCACTACCCTGAAAAACATGTATGTTGAACAAAAAGAAAATACTTAAAAAAATATTTTGCAACAACAAAGACACACTGTTTGACATCCCCTATCAACGTTCTTCGAATAATGAATCAGAGTAATTTGTGCAAACATTTAACTCGTCGAAGTCTGAAGTCAACAAAAAGCACGTGGCCCTACTCTTACAGACGTTTTGGTAATGCACATAAAAGATGGGGAGAGGCCTACGCAAAAGCTACGAGGTTGACAACCTACAAAGTTAGTCATTATTCCAGCCGCGAAGCAGGTTCATCAGCAGCTTCAGCATCAACAGTAACAGCATTAGAATCAGCTCCAGCAGACAGCCGTACGCAGTTGTCGCGCTCACTACATTTTCAATTGTTAAGAAAGTATAGTATTCGGAAACTCCACAAATAGTATTAGAGTAATTTTCCGCCAAATTTGGCTATTCGGTCACAATTTTGTTTCCCGCGTATTTCGGAAACGAAGAGTCGGATTAAAGTGTGGTTTGTTTTATTGAATTTTGTCGTCGAGTGACGTACTCACATATCAGATTTCAGACAGAAGCGGCGAAATGATTTTTTTTTGCCAATTTTTCCACCAAATTTGGCAATTCGGTCACAAAATGATTTCACGTGTATTCGGGAACTAATAGTCGGATTAAAGTCTAGTTTGCTCCATTGAAATTCTCGTCGACAGATGTACTCACATTCGTGATTTCAGAAAGAAGCGACGAAATTGAGTATTTTTCCAAATTTTCCACCATTTTTGGTAATTCCGCCAAATTTTTTAGCTTCATTTCACTCGTATTTCGTAAAATAATAATCGGATTTAGGTCTGGTTTGCTCCATTGAATTTCTTATAGTAAGATGTATTCACATATAAGATGTAAGAAAGAAGGGACGAAATTGAATTTTTTTCCAAATTTTCCACAATTTTTGCTATTTCCGGCACATTTATATTAAACTCGTATTTTTTAACTAAAAATTAACTAAAAGTTAACTAAAAAATCAGATTGAAGTCTGGTTCGCACCATTGAATTTCTAGTCAAACAAATGTACTCACATACGTGATTTAAGAAAGAAGCGTCGAAATTATTTTTTCAAAATTTTCCACCATTTATTG